CGGGAGGGGGGGCAGAGGTTAAGGGCAGAGGGTGGAGTGGGAACCAGGTGGAGGGAAGCGATGGGGGTGGGGGGTGGGGAAGAGGAACAACTGTCATAATCTGAACAATAAAGATTTATTTTAAAAAAAAGATGTGTGAACCTGGAACCATCCCCATGTTTATCTTAAGCTTAATGTCTATTCCCTATGTCTCAATAAATGGTTATGTGCTAGGCCTTGTGAAAAACACTTTGCATTCATTATTTCATTTAACCCTCACAAAACCCCAGTGAAAATGAGGTTGGAAGAGGTTAAATATTGTCCAAAGTATTTAGCTATCTTACTAGCTAGGACTTAGACTGATGAATCCTACATAACATAAAAGATCTTACCTGACAATTTAGGCACCACAAATACTGTTCCATCATCACCAATGCAACTGACTACTGCCTCAAATACTTTCATGTTGGGAATAACTGGTGGTTTATAGCATCCAGGGGTCCTTGCTTCTAGAATGTTCTCCTTAAATGCAGACACCCTGTGTTCATTGATAATATCAGCAGCTTTTTTGTCAGGGTCAGAGTTAATTTTAATACACTTAGTAACCATTGAATCTTCTTGTTTCAGGGGGATTTCCAGAGACTTCTCAGATAATGAATGGCTGCTATCTAATTTATCAATTCTGTAACATTCAAAAAAGAATACATGTAAACATGAGCAATAAAAAGTTCTGGAGAAAATAATATAAACAGAATCCTTCTAATATAATATTTGCTGTAGTCTAATCTAATTTATTACATGAAATGGAACATAATTTAAGTTATAATGAAAATTACTTTAAATTATGAATAAGCATAATAAAAAAGGATTGATTTCACTTAACTGCTTTATAATCTCATGTTACATGCTATTCTCTCTTCAAATCTCATTGGTACATCTTAAGTATAAGTCAACTAGATGTCAATGGGAATACAATCACGTTGATTCTAATTTAGTTCACATATACACCTGGCAAGTTATCAACATTCATAAAATAACACAAAGATAATATGAGTCTCTTAAAAATATAGTACTATTCAGATTAAATGTTAATGGTAATATGCTATATACTCTCCATTTTTTAAATTTCCTGTTATTCCTTTACAATTATAAAAAAAGTATGCCTACAAAAAAGAATCCTAGGAGATACTAGCATTGCTTATTTTAGCAGAATTATAGCAAATTTTTGTTTCATCTATTTTCCTGTATTTTTTAAAAGGAAATAAGCATTGATATGATAAAGTTACAAAATTTCACACCTTCCACAGCTCTCTTACAGTTCTCAGTCTTGAGACAGCTGGTAGTTTCAGTTCCATAAAAGCAGATGCTATCTATTAGTGCTATTAACTTGCCCAGCATTGTTCACTTTAACATTTCTTTATCAGGAATTGCTTTAGTCGCAGAGGTCCTCAAACTTTTTAAACAGGGGGCCAGTTCACTGTCCGTCAGACATTCCACACATGCGCACTGTGGGCCCGGGGCGAGTCAGCTGCTAAGCAGGACAGGCAGCGGCAGCAAAAACACCCGGCGGGCTGGATAAATGTTTTCGCATGTGGCCTGCAGGAAAGTTTGAGGACCCCTGGAAAGTCAGTGAACCAAAAGAGACACACATGGGACTAAAGATGCAGGGGCAGCCGCAGGCCACTGTCCAGCATTAGGTTAGCATCTAGCAGGCATGGCTAACCACCTTATGACCCATTCCATTTCTGATTTTTCATTCTCCTTCCATTTCATCAGTACTGGGGTCCAAATAAGAGAACATGTAATAATCTATATAATAAAAACCCAGTGGTCGTAACACCATAACAACCAAAGACTGGTCACCAGGAGGTGCATTGATGGGTCCCATGGCACCAGGAGGACTTGATGGTGGGTCCCGTGGTGCACCGGGTCTGGGTCTCACGTGATTTCACGCACTGGACCTCTAATGTAGTATTAAAAAAAAGAGATTTGGCCATGCATAGTACAAAGTGGCTACTTGGAACATCTATAATAATAAAACCGTAATATGCTAATTAGACTGGACAGCTGAACAACCTTCTGGATGTCATTCTGGATGTCCTTCCAGATGAAGCTGCCATGGCGGGGGCCGAGGCAGAGTGGTTAGGGGCAATCAGACAGCAGGTGAGTGGTTAGGGGCAATTGGGCCTAAACTGGCAGTCGGACATTCCCCGAGGGGTCCCGGATTGCGAGAGGGTGCAGGCTGGGCTAAGGGAACCTTCCCGCCCCCCGTACATTAATTTCATGCACCAGGCCTCTAGTATGTCAATAATTTCCATAGACCTCTACATCTAGAAGGAGAGAGAATAAAGGAAGCTAGGACTATTGCAATATCATGTTCATTCTCCCCATGGACCAAAAGTACTTAAACCGCGAAAGATGTGCCTGAAAAGATCTTTAAATGTAAATATTGTTCAATTACATTTTTGTTACCCATTTCTGTTTCACAAAAACACATTTTTGGTGTATACCAGAATTGTCAACATAAAGCTTAAACATTTCTGTCTAAGCACATGAAGCCAAAGAGTACAGATCTGGTACCCACTATAGCATCCCCTCATCTCCTTTCCTTTGGGTTGGAGTGTAAATGCCAAAGAAAAGGGAAAAGTAGAGAAGCAAACATGTCAGTTTAAAGAGGGGTTTAAATATGTAAGAGCTGATGGGATTGAATAAAGGAACTGGCAATCATGAAGGAATCTGTTTCTAAGCTGGATCCTTAGGTTTAGTTTATCATTTTAAAGAGCAAACGAGATGCAATTTAGGTTTGAAAGCACACAGACAGGAAAGCATACAGGTAAATAAGAAGCCTTCATCACAAACTGATGTAAAAAAAAAAGAAAGTCCATACCTCCTTTCTCTCAAGGCCAAACCCTTTTTAATCAAATATTTAGAGACATCAACACGCTCTCCTTTTTCATTTCTGCAAAAAATTTTCACAGGTAATGGCCATGTCGTGTTGTTTTCCTAGTGGTTTAAGAGGAGAGTAAGTATGAGACACGAAAATGAAATCTACACAATATACTTTTTGTTGTTGTTGTTAATCCTCTCCTAAGGATATGTTTCTACATTTAGGGAAGCCCGCTAAGCAGAAAGAGTGGGAGGGAGGGAGGGAGAGGAGGAGAGGGAGAGAGGGAGGTGGGGAGAGGGGGCGAGGGGGCAACGGATAGAGGGAGAGGAGGAGGGAGGAAGAGAGAGGGAGGAGAGGAAGAAGGAGACAAAGGGAGAGGAAGGGAGAGGGAGGGAGGGAGGGAGAGAGGGAGGGAGAGGGAGGGAAGAAAAAGAGAGAGAAAGAGAAAGGAGAGAGAAGAAAAGAGAGGAGAGAGAGGAGAGAGATGGAATCTGCAACCCAGGTACATGTCCTTGACCAGGAATCAAACCCGAGACCCTTTAGTGCATGGGCCGACACTCTAACCACTGGGCAACGCTGGCCAGAGCTACAAAATATACTTTTCACAGGCATTTCCTCCACATTCTCCAAGCCAAAAAGAATATTCCCAGGCAAGTACTTTTTTTTTTTCCACCCTAGAGAGGGGGAGGGGAGCGTTACACCATCAGTTATAAGCTCTCTATTCTCCAAAACTCTGCAAATTATAGATTGAAATATATTTTTCCAGTTGTGGCTTTTTTTACTATAAAAAGCAAAAGAACTACAAAACATATTCTGTTTCATATAAATCGTAAAAATGAAGAAAGTACACAAAGAAACAAAAGTAACATGGGAAAATTACTTATATATGAAAATTCTGATTATTAATGTGATAAAAGGTATTAGAAAATGTAAAGGAGGCAATGAGTATTTTTTAATGTTCTAAAATGATATATATATATCATTTAGGGACAATTGGGCCTAAACTGGCAGTCGGCAATTGGGGCAATTGGGCCTAAACTGGCTATATACATATATATACAGCCCAGATTTCAAGATTCCCAAGAGCCCACCAGGGAGCCAGCGAGTCCGATGCAAAAGCAAAGAGTCCTTTATTTCAAACTCGAGTCTGGCTCCCTCACCCTCCTTACTGGCACAGCAGCAGGTGCAGAGAGAGGCCTAGCCTGATGGGATGAGGAGTTTTATAGGGGGGTGGAATAAGGGCAGGAGAGGGGACTGTGGGCCCCGCCGATTGGCCAGGCGCAAGTCGGTGTCTCATTACACAGGATGTGGTCATATTGATGGCGTGCACTTCCCTTGTTTATCATTGGTTAGTCCAGAGAAATCCTGGGTGTGGCTAGCAGAGGCTTGGGCTTCCGGGAAGAAGCCTTGCCGAGCACATGGCTCTGTCCAAAAATGGAGAACCCAGGGTAAGATGGAGGGCGTAGTCCTCACCCTTTCATATATATACCCTCTTCTCAAATCCATACTCACATACACACTTTTTATGAAATAGTTTACCTGACTTCATTAGAAGCCCAACCAAAGTTTCCAGTTTGAATGAATAAAAGGCTTCAGAAATACACTCTAGCACAAACTGTTTTGTAGCATGCAAATTATCAACTCAAGAATATTAAATGCTTTGATTCATTCATATGATTATTTATGTTACATCTCTTACCAAACAGGTATTATAAGACCAAGTTTGAAAAAAAAAAGCTCGCTGATATTTTGTCAACAAGAAAATACATGGAATTGTAAACAACATCAATGAAATAATCAGTGCATATCTATTGGAACCCCACTGCACACCTGTAAGATTATAGTTGCTACTGCTCCAGTTAGGTACAGTGAAAGACAGTCACAGGCTGTCGCTGTCCACTTGTCACTCCCACCAGTTGGTCTAAAACAAAAAAGGACAACTTGTTTTGTAACAGCAGAGGACATAGAAAAATAAAATAACCACCAGGTACATATGTATTTGAGTCAACTGCATATGTAGTAAGAAATTAATTTAAACATGGCTTTGTGTTATTTTCTTCCCCATTTCATAGCCTTTTGTTCATCCCTCTATTCTAATGATGAGATAGTTCCTTGTGGGTAAGATAAAAAGTTGGATAAACCAGTAACTTTAAACGGTCCATTAGGTTTTTATAATAACATTGAAAGGGTCTTGGGATCTTTAGCTTTATTTTTAAACAGATTTGTACTATTCCTATTTGTGCACATATCTGGAAAATGTACACCACACACACACACACACACACACACACGTGTGTGTGTACCTATATCTATATCTATCTATCATCTATCTATCTATCTATCTATCTATCTATCTATCTATCTATCATCTATCTATCTATCATCTATCTATCTATATCTTTCAGCCAAGTAATACCAAACGGCTAGATGGATTTGCTTCAAATTAGGGAGAAAATTATATAATTCAAAATTATGAGCTTCTCTGCATGATGGTTAACTGCAGGTAGTATACCAAAGCACCAAGAAAATGATCCCCCCACAGGCTTTAATTACAGATGGATCTGCTACTCCATGGTGAATAGTAGACAAGGCTTACCTAACAATAGCTAATGACTTTTTAACCTCTGGAAGGAAGGCCAATTAGTTTTTGGCAACATTGTTACTTCAGTGACTAGGTATTCTGATTTCTGTTAACAGGAGCTAGAAATCCAAATATTTATGTGGTACCTGTTTTTTAAGAAAACGTTGATAGTTTAAAAGTTTAAAAACTTTCTGTAGGCCAAATACATGATGCACATTACTTGGATCTGGCCCACAAACTGCAAACTACAACCTGACATAGAGATATTCTTTCAAATTTACAGGTAATGAACTAGAAAGGACAGCCTAGATATTAAAAAACAATATTTGAATTTTGAAACCAATTAGATGAAATCTGAAAGGAATAAATGTAAAACTATATTTTGGTGAAAAAAATGAATGATTTAAGTGTATAGAAAGCTATAGTTTCCTAATAGTTCCCGCAAATAAGAGCAAGTGTCACTCCTATGAAGCCACTCTATGTGGGAAGCCCATGTAAAGACATCAAAGCCTATCTTGCCCTCCAGGTCAGTGCTGGGTCTTTGGGTGTAAATGCTGACTTCTTTCAGTTGGCGATATCTCCTCCTTCGGGGGAGATGGGGCATGATAATTCTGATTGAGTCAACAAATAGAGACTGATGTGCTCGAAGCTTCTATACTATCATTATAAAACTGAAAGTAAAATGGAGTTACAATTCACACCACTGGGATTTTTACTAATATTCACAAGGTCTATGCCAGTTCAATGAAAACTGCTTAAGAAATTCAATCTAACTCACCTCCACAAAATACAAATTTAAATACACTACACTAACCAAATGTAATGAAAAGAATCACATTCATAGTTTTAGTGGGAATTGCTCAGAATGTATCTGAAATAATTCTGCTAATTTAAACCAAAAAAACATTTGGAGAAGCAGGAAAAATCTAAAAATCATGTTATGTTAGGATTATTTGACAAAACTAGTAGCCTGGAAGAAAAAAATACTAGTAGACTTAGTGGAATGTGGTATCGACCTTTCCATATCTGATGGTTAGAAGAATCAAGAGGTTTGTTTGTGAGACAAAATGAGGATGTGTGGAAGACATGAGGAGACCAACTGCAATGCAGTGGAAGGAGATATTAGCAACTGGAGCTGCCTAATAGACAAGTTTCCTTGAGGGTAAATACACTCTATAGCACTGGGGGTTTTCAAGCAGGTCTTGAATGTACATGTACTAGGACAGGTATAAAAGAAATTACTGTCATGACACCTCTAAGTTGGATTCCAAGCCTAAGATTCTATAATTCTTGTTACAAAGACACTATGGCTTTATTGCTATGGATTTATCTAAGAAGGAAGGTCTCCAAGAATCAGGAATTTGCAACTTCTTTACTGTTCAGAAAGAAGTCTGAGGATAATTAGACACATGCTAAGTGCTCCTGTGACTCCTTTCTAGCCTGGGAAAACCATAAGATTCAGGTCAACATTGAGATTTATGAAGAGCCATATTGAGTTTTACCAAATATTTCCTCTTTAATTATTTATTCAGAACAGACTGTATTTTGCTATATCCCTTTAAGCTATATCTTATTTATAGATTTTTCTTTATACATGAAGATTATCTGAATATTTTATTTAAAATCTGGTGAATTCACCTTTAAAAAGTTATTATGGTAATTTTCAAACATATTCAAAAGCAGAGAGAATATAAAAAATCTGATGTATCTATTACTCAGGTTCAACAATTATAAATACATGACCAATTTTATTTCATTTATACTTCTACATACCCCAATCCCTGATTATTTTTAACCAACTCTCAGACATAACATTTTATTTGAAAATATTTTAGTTTGTATTTCCAAAAGATAGTATTTTTTAAACAAACATAATCACAGTATTATCTCATCTAAAACACTTAACAATCCTATATAATAAAAGGCTAATATGCAAATCAACCAAATGGCAGAATGACCGGTCACTATGATGCACACTGACCACCAGGGGGTAGACACTCAATGCAGGAGCTGCCCCCTGGTGGTCAGTACGCTCCCACAGGGGGAGCGCTGCTCAGCCAATAGCCGGCCTCATGGCTGGCGAGGGCAGCAGCTGCGGCGGGAACCTCTCCCGCCTCTGTGTCAGCGCTAAGGATGTCCAACTGACAGCTTAGGCCTGGAGTGGGCCTAGCCATCAGTCAGACATCCCCCACGGGTTCCAGGGACACCCCACTCCCCCGTCCTGAGTGCACAAATTTCGTGCACCAGGCCTCTAGTTCTTTAATATAAACCATTCAGATGGTGGTCATTTTTTTCTGATGTTTCCAAAAAGACTGAATTGGTGAACAAAGTCCATATATCATGAATGGCTGATATGTATGATTGCCCCTTTCATCTCTTTCCAAATGATTTTTTTCCTAGAAAATCTGATGGAATAGTATATACAGCAGAACAGAAATACTAGAAAAAAGTTGGCTAACAAAATATTATGAAATGCACTGTTGAAGAAACTGAGTTATCTGGTAGTTTCCATGGTCTGAACTTAGCTGCTTGCATTGCCACAGTGTTTAACATGTTCCTTATATTTCCTTTCAATTCACAGTGAGGTCTAGACTCTTGATCAGATTCAGGCTTGTATTTTTTTCCCCCAGCAACACTATTCATAGGTGATACTGTGTACTTCTATCAGGAAGTATACAATGTCTGATTCTCTTTTTGATACCTGTCATCTAGATTCCCTTCTGTGTTTATTTGGGTTATAAAATGATGCCATTCTAATGATGCCACTATTCCTTTGTTAATTGGAGTATTTATTAAAAAACTTTATAAATTGAACTGTAGATCATATAGGAAAAGCAAGACAAAACCTCATTTCCCCTATTCACCACTTTTTGGAATAATGAAGTGATTCCCTAAAATCCTCTAAAAGTAAGCAGTGAGTTTTTGTTTTGTTTTTTTAAATCACTTTATACTTAGGGATTTAAACATATCAAATGATTTACCAATTACCATTATCCTACTGATGTTCAAACTGTCCCATCTTTGGTCAGTGGAAGTTATTCAGGTTGGCTGAATTCTTTTGTCATAATCCTAATAATTCTTTACAGCTTTTTTGCTTTTTGCTGTGACAAGATATTCTAGGCTCATATTGTACATTTCCTGTCCCAGACCTAGAATTGAACATTTTCCCAAGAGCATCAATTTCTGTTGAGGGAAATGGCATATGGAGGCCTCAATCTGCATACCAGCATAGCTCATTATGACTTGGGCCTTCATGTTACAATGCTAAAAAAAGGTGTTTTTGTTTGTTTGTTTGTTTTTAACAATGAAAACACCTCAAGAGTTTCTGTTGATATTTATAATTCAAAATCAGGAGTACAAGGTAAGTTAACCTTAGTCTTACACCTTTATCATCTGTATACCACACCAGTTCTTAACGATATGTATGTAATTACTATTTTGACTTACCCCACAATACATGCACAGTAGATTCCACAACACTACAACCCACTTTGAGATTAATGAAAACAACTGATGATTGGGGGTAAGGAGGAGTTAATTTTTTGTCCTTAGGTTATATTCTGGTAAGAATGTACGGTCAACTTACTGTGTTTTAAGTGTTTTTGAAGAAGTTCCTCTCTGAAAGTCTAGGCCATGCTATGTACAGATAGTGAATTTCATTTTTCTTACCATTTTATTGATTTGTTTATATAACATAGTAATATAGTTCCAATATAAAATCAATATTGTTAGTAACCTCTTTTTGTTTTCCCCCAACATTTTATCTGAAGTACTTACTCCTAGTTAATACCAATAAGACAAACAGAAAGTTTATTCAAGTTTTCATAGGTACTCTACTTTCTCCCCTCATTTTTGAAATTGTCATATTTACTTTGCATGCTATACTGTTTCCCTAATAATTATCATTTAATCATAGTTCTGAGGTAAAGTAAATGTAATGTTCACGAACAGTCCTTATTTAAAAATCTCTCATGTCTTTTTACCTAAAGCTTGTTCTCTTACAGATTCCTCAGGAACAACACTCCTGAGTGGTCATATAAGTTTGTCTATAGTCTTTGTCTTGAAGGTCAGTTTGGTTGGACATAAAACTCATAGCCTGCCACTTTGAGTATTTAAAAAATGTTACTGCATTATCTTCTGACACAAAGTGTTGGTGATGACAGTGTGATTTTACTTCTCTTAAAAGTTCAATCATTTTACTAGATAATCTCTCAATGTTGACATTCTTGATTTCCCTTTCAATATATAGTTTTGTCTTTTGTTTTAGAAACACTTTCTTGAATTGGGTTTTTAGCATTTGGTTCTATTTCTTTTAGTTTTCTTCTTTGAAATTCCTATTACATATATGTTGAGTCTTTTTCTTTTTGGTCAATTTAGGTATCTTTTGTTTTCTTTTGAATCCTTTTGATTTTGTTTTTTTAATTTCAAAAATCTGTCCTTATCTTGTATTTATCTAAGGCATTGTTTATTGTGTATTTGTGTTTTCTCTAGTTTAGTCTACATTTTTGATAGAATTTTCTTTTATTTTCAAATTCTTTCCTGAGTGTTATCTTTTTCAAATCATCCTTTTTCTTTTTTAAAATCTTTATTGTTGAAAATATTACATGTCCTCGTTTTCCCCCATTGACCTCGTCTAACCCACCTCCACCCCACCTCCCCCAGGCCTTCACCACCCCAAATCATCCTTTTTCTGTATCTTATTTCTGAGTTTTTCTAATTGTTTTATGTTGTTCTTCACAGTGTCTATCATTTTTAAAAAGTTTTAATTCATTCTGAAATGTCAAGATTATAGTTTATTATGTTGTAAGCATGTCATTTTTGGCTCCTTATTCCTTTTTTTGGTTAATCCTCACCTGAGGATTTTTTTCCCCATTGATTTTTAGAGAGAGTGGAAGGGAGAAAGGGAGGGGAGAGATGGAGAGAAAGAAACATCAATGTGAGGAACACACTGATTGTTGCCTCCCACACATGCCTCAACCAGGGCCAGGGATTGAACCTATAACCCAGGTACATGCCCTTGACAAGGAATAGAACCAGCAACCCTTTGGTGTGCAGGCAGATGCTCTAACCACTGAGCAACTGGCCCTTATTCTTTTTTCTCATAATAATTTGCATGGAATTCAACTGTAACTCTTGCTTTTGATCATGTTTTAAGTAAAAATCTCCTGTGCTTAGGAGAAAGGGGTGATTCATATTGCTTTTCTAGCTTCCTGGTTCTGTTGTATTGCTTTCCCAAAGTGACAGAAAATGGGGACTCATACTTGATATTCCTCTACTCCTCTGCCCTGCTTTTATCTGTATCTTTTCTTTGCCCCATTTCTGTCTTCCTCAAATCAGGCTCTTTTTCCCAGTTGTCTTTCCTCAGTTGTAGGGTCATAGAAGGGAGCTGAGATGGCTGAGAGCTTACACAGCTAGGAAAGCTCCAGCACCACAGGACTGGCACATTACAGGTCTCTCGCGTTTAACTACAAAGTTTCCTGCATTACTCCCTTCTCTATTTGGGTTGCTGTTCTCATACTGGCCTGTCTGCCTCAGTGAAAAGCTCTTCCCAATTCCTTTTCTCAGAGCTGTTGGCAGCCAGTCAGCTTTCCCTCCACATGTTCCCACACTACTGCTGACGTCATACCGGTTGGTTTCTGTGTGCCACATCTACTTGTATTTGGGGACTCATAGGTGAAGGCTTGTTGCCTATTTTTGTTGCAGGTGTTGACTGTACAGTTTTTAGTTTTGCTCTGTGTTTATGGTAGAATTCTAGTAGACTCAAAAACTATACCATGCCATCTTCCCAGAATCCTCCCAAAGTCACTCTTTTTGGTAATTTACCCATTTTTAGCTTTCCAATGTAATCCTATGCTTGTGAAATACATTTTATTTCTGTATGTCTTTGTTCCTCAAGTTTTTTTTTAAATTTAACACTTTGAATTTTATGGAGATATCTGTCATACTCACCTATCTCTACTTCCTTAATACCACAAAAATACACGTGCTTCAAATTTTTATCTTTCCCTCTTCTTTAAAACCTTAAAATTAACTAGATTTTATGAAAATTTAAGAATATATTAGCATAATTAAAGCTGACCGGAACCCATCCCAAAGGAAATATACTTAAAATCACATTCATTAATGAGAAAATTTACTCAGCTAAAAACTACCTTATATCAACAAGAGAGCATTCCAAACATAATCTTCCCATTGTCTTTAGGTTTTCTTGAAGTTCTCTTAAACAGTTAATATTCACTACTAGTTCAACACCCACGTCATACAGCAAGACCTATGAAAACAATAACTTTAAGTCTATGGAAAGATAATACATAAAAATTTGTTTTGCAAATGAAAAGCTTCATAAAAAATGAATTAAATAAATCCAGGATAAAAATACAAAATGCATGTACTTTCATGACTATATTTTTAACTCTGCATTTACCTCTACCAATGTGTCTGTAACCATTCTGATGATCTGGCCTCTTCGCCACTGATTGTTATCTGGAAGCTTAACAGCACAGTGCATATCATTTTCCCATTTAATAGGTTCCCATTGTGAGTTTTCATAAGCAGCTACCATCTTTTCTTCTAAACTACGTAAAGAAAAAATATTTTAACTTTCTAAATCTTTTCTGACAACATACAATTCTCTGACCACATGTCTACTCCAGCCCAACTGAATCTCTTTCTTCCTTGATTACCCAGACTATTTCCACTGTAGGGTGTTTGAACTAGCTCTTCCCTCCGCCTGACATGAACTTCCCCCAGATATCTTCATGGTTTACTTCCCTCTCCTCTTTTATGATCCATTTCAAATGTCACTGTCTCTGTGAGATCTTCCTTGATCATTCTAAAATTATCTTCCTCCCCAAATGCTTTTTTTTATTGTCTTTATCACCATCTGCTACACTCAATATTTTATTTGTTCACTGTTTCTCCCTCTACTAGAATTTAAGCTCTATAAAGCGAAGACTTGTCCGTGTTTTTACCACTGTAACCCAACACTTAGAACACTGGCTGTCAAATAATTGGTGCTCAATAAGCATTTGTGGAATGAATAAATTCTAATATAGTGAAGTTAGCCAGTAAAGATAATAACTGTATACTTTTAACTAGTAAAAAGTAGACTATTTAGCTGAAATAATATAGCTATTTTTAAAATTCTACATTTATGACTTCTAGATCTTTGAAATAAAATATAGAAAAGAGAATAAAACCATATGCAATATATGTTTCCCTTATATCATATACCTATTAATTAAGTTTTCTGTTAATAACCACTGAACATAAATCTTCTCAGGAGATATTACATTACAGATATGCACAGGCAGTTCCTTATTGTAAAGTGACTGAAGATTCTCATTAGGTAGAGATTTTGCTGTCACAGAATTTAAGTTGTTTACTTCATTTGAAATAATTTCTTCTGGAGAAGGATCCCACACTTCAGTATGCTTTTTAGAATTATCTTTGATGGTGTACCTGAAAAATAACAAAACCCATTAGCAAAAAAATAGTTCATAAATATGTTTGCATTTGCTTATAGAGAGGAATGGGTTTTAGCTGTGACTCACTGCTTCCCAGTTTTGATATATTAAATAGCAATTTTAGTCTTAAAAATAAGTTATTAACTACCACCAAAGTAAGCACAAAACAAAAAACCTAAAAGCCAAACTTTCTATCTTAAAAACACAGCTTAAAATACCAACTTTTGCCCTTGCTGGTGTGACTCATCTTGGGTGTCGGGGTAGGGGATCACCAGCTCGATTCTTAGTCAGGACACATGCCTGGCTTTCAGTCACCAGTTGGGGTGTGTTTGGAAGGCATCTGATCAATGTTTGTCAGCTGAGGTACATATGGGAGAGAGCCAATTGATGTTTCTCCCTCTCCTCTCCCTAAAAGGTAAAAAGAAAATGCCAACTTTGGCCCTGGCTGGTGTGGCTCAGTTGGTTGGAGTGTCTTCCCCTACACAGAAACGTCATGGGTTTGATTCTCGGTAAGGGCACATACCCAAGTTGTGGGTTTGAACCGCATTGGGGCACATCAACCAATCTCTCCCATCCTCTCTCTCTAAGATCAATAAAAGCATGTCGTTGGTGAGGATTTTTAAAAAGTACCAACTTTGCTCATAATTTCACCATTTCCCACTGATATTTCGTACTCACCAAGAATTTTCAGTTTTTTGATAAATTGAATATTTCCCCTCGACTAAAAAGTATCAATGTTTGCCATTTAAAATGCAAGTGGAAAACAAATGCTATTAAAGGGTGATAAGGAGCAAAATTATTAAATAAAGAGTTTAAAATGTTTAATACATCCCATTAGTTCAGACTCTAACCACAGATAATTAGATGCCATTTTCTATTTCTATAAAGGAAAAAGTTAATTCCTTTCACCATAAGTTTGAGATTTAGCTAACCAAGATGACCGATTTTTGCTGCAAAATTTAATGGACAGTTTTCAGTCCTTATCTGATATGAACTCTGAGCACTAGCCGACAGTATAACTCAAAGAAATACCAGGTTCTATGGCCAAGAAAGAACTGTACCTCTAACTTTTGGCTACAACAGAAGTAAAGAAGTAATTTGATTATTTGACATACGTCCATGTAACAATTTAATATTAATGAGTAATTTGAGGGCATGTTCTCAGTTTGACACATACATGTTATCTTCTACTGTGTGTTAACCATACTTTAGGACAAAATGGACAATTTTTTTTTTAAATATATTTTATTGATTTTTTACAGAGAAGAAGGGAGAGGGACAGAAAGTCAGAAACATCAATGAGAGAGATTGATCAGCTGCCTCCTGCACACCCCCAAGTGGTGACGCGCCCGCAACCAAGGTACATGCCCCTGACCGGAATCGAACCCGGGACCCCTGAGTCCGCAGGCCGACGCTCTATCCACTGAGCCAAACCGGTTCGGCTGGACAATTTTTTTTAAAGTTTTATCTTTACTGAGGCATAACTAATATATGACATTGTAAGATATTTAAATGATACATACATATTTATCAAAATCCATAACTATGCACCTTAAAAAGGGTGAATTTTTATTGTATATGTTATATTTCAATAACTTTGACTAACAAAATTCAGTCTAATATATTTAAGAGTTTCCTTTCACCTCTGTCTCCTCCTCACTTAGGACTTACACTGAGTGGCCAGATTACTATGATCCCCGGACGTTTGTAGGCAAATTAGCTATAATTTCACGCTTAAGTTGCTAGAGGGCCAGACCATTATAAATAGGGAAGCAGGTTGTTTACCACGACAGAAATGCTTTTTTTCCTGAAGATATGGGTAAACAACGCAATTTAACAGCCTTCGAATGTGGGATATATTTGAACCCGAGTGGCCAGATTATTATGACCACCTGACGTTTGTAGGCAAATTAGCCGTACACTGCATCGTATGGGATATGGAAGCCGAAGGCCTGTTCGAACACCTTTGCTGTCTGCAGTTACAAC